AAACAAAGCTGGCCGCAGCCTCTCCTGGCCCGCCGCCGCTCCCCCCAGCAGTGGACTTCATCCATCTGCCTGTTCTGCTCCCCGCTCTGTCTCTGGGGAAGCCTCCCACCCCCTGTACCTCTGGCCTGTACCCCAGTTCTGTGCAAAAGTAAATAAATAAATCTTAAAAAAAATAAAATTGAAGGTCTGAAAAACAAATTTTAGAAAAGGGAATTCTGTGTGTTCAAATGATTTGTTCTAAAAACATTTTAGCTGACTTAAATTTATCAGTAGTGTACCTATGTAACACCTCGCTCTGGTCCTTTCACATAAAAGCCAAGGTGTTCCAGGAACACTGTCACTAGCTTCCGGGAAGGTCTGCTCAGGCCATCTAGAGATCTTGGTGTTCTCTGCCCTCGGGCAGCCTGCTGGCCTCCTCAAGGAGGGGACGTATCACCCGACCGGATTGTTTCAGCCCGCGGACTGTGCCGCTGTGGGAAACACGGGTGCTCGGGGCGCTGGGGAGCCCCACGGGATGAGGAGGTTCTGGCCACCATTTCTCCCTAGTGTCTGAGGGGCGTAACCTGTACTTCCACGTGGAATTTGCTCTTCCAGATGCTGTGCAGGTACCCCAGGACTTTTTTTTAAAGATTATTTATGCACACAGAAGTGGGGTACAGGCCAGAGGTGCAGAGGCAGTGAGAGGATTCCCTAGAGACAGTGGGGAGCAGACCGGGCAGATGGGCAAAGCCACTGCTGAGGGGAGCAGGGGAGCCCCGAGGGTCTGCCGCGCCCTGGGGGTCACCTGGGGGCGGGATCGACGCGCACTGGAGCGGCCGCGGCCGGGCTCGGCTGTGCAGTGCAGGGCCCCGACCCGCTGCGCCACCAGGGAGGGCCCAGGACTGTTTCTCACAGAGGCCTGACCGCTGCCCGCCCTGACACGTGGCCTTCTGTCCTGCTCGAACTTACCTTCTTCCCAGTCTGGGCTGGCGGGCTGAGAGCTGGAGGCTGTGGTGTCCGCCCGTGCCGCTGCCCAACCTTCAGAGCCGGAGACTTGTCTGCGTGGCGTGAGCGAGGGAGCCGCCGGTGCTGGCTCCCGCCTGCCCCTTCCTGCACCTGTCTGGGCCGCTGCCGCGGACGTGGCGAGACGCCGCCCACAGACATTCCAGCTAACAACTGTGATGAAAACTGGCACAAGTGTTTTGAGAACATATGATCCAGGTCAGCTGTGGTGACTAGAGACAAAGTTGCAGTTGCACAGGTGGTTGGAAGCGGCCTGGGGTTGTGCTTCATGTCTGGGTCGTTCATGTCCGGCGCATGGCCAAGTGTCAGGGAAATGGGCTTTAGACCCTTTCCACGAGGTTAGAGTGGCGGGTTATGACTTGACGGTCAACGTTGTACAACTGAACAGCAGCTTGCATAAAGGTCAAAGATTGCCGGGGCCTCCCCAGTGGCCCGGGTTAGAGCGCAGCACTGGGAAGCTCTCCGAAGCTCTCACCGCAGCCCAGGTTCGATCCCCGGCCAGGGAGTGACCACGGGGCGCGGCAGACCTCTCCTGTCTCCTCGCTGCTCCCCTCGGCAGTGTGCTTCGCCCACCTGCCAGTTCTGCTCTCTGCTCTGTCTCTGGGGAGTCCTCTCACCACTCCCACACCTCTGGCCTGTACCCCAGCAGTTCTTGTGTGCATAAACAAATGGCATCTTTAAAAAAAGAAAAGAAAGAAAAAATTAGGCCCTCCCTGGTGGCGCAGCGGGTTAAAGCACGGCACTAAGAAGCTGAAGTCACTTCAGCACGAGTGCAATCCCTGCCCGGAGGTGACCACATGGCGGGCAGCCCTCTCCTGACCCGCCCGCTGCTCCCCTCGGCAGTGGGCTTCCTCAGTCAGCCTGTTCTGCTCCCCGCTCTGTCTCTGGTGAGGCCTCTCACTGTCCCCACACCTCCGGCCTTTACCCCACTTCTGTATGCATAGATAATTAAAAAAAAGGATGAAATATTGTGTTTTGCAGTATTTATGGCAAAGCTTCCCAAATATCTAAATTAAAGTAAAATTAAGTAGCCTGTCACTTGGATGATTGGAGATTTTGTGAAACCTCAGCCGAGCTCCTGGCATTCCACAAACTTTCTCATTTCCTCCTGGGAGAGGCATTAGATAAATCTGTACCGCTTGGCTTACTTGGTAAAGTAAAACCAAAAGGGAACCACTGGATGTTCTGAAACCCGTACAAGACCTTTCAGTACCTGACATGTGGACAAACTGTCAGCTTTGGTTGTTGTCCTGCAACCTTATATACTTCAACAGTTCAACAGCTGGGAAAACTGTTTCTAAAACGAAATTGTTTCTAGAAACAGAGCTCAACCGATCCCAGTTGATAAAACTTTGACAATAAAAATTCCCCATGAAGGACTGAACAGATAAACCTGCTTTCTGGTAACTTTTGTTTGAAGTGATACTGGTGGTTGTTCTGCATTTTGCTTTGTCAAGTTTCTGTTTTGTTTTCACTGACCAGGCTGAGCGGCCATGTTGTTTTTTTACACAGAGAAGTGACCCACACAAAAGAGAGTTAAAGGGGAGCAGACGTGGGCTCGCCCGGCCGGGGGCCGAAGCAGCGTCCAGTGCCCTCACGGGTCTCTGGTCCCCACCAACAGCTCTGCTCACACAGCCATCACCGGCAGGCCAGCCTCCAGGGCGTCTCCCCCACCACACGCGCGCGCCGTACTAAGGCAGGGTAAGAGCGTGGGCATCTATGTTATAGAGGAGCCAGGGTGGACCGGGCCGCCTGTCTGTGGGCCTCACCCGCGCACTCACAATTCGGCTATACTGCAGGTGCACACAAAAGGGTCAAACACGGGTTTATTTACAAGAGGGGAAAGGAGACAACCCAGGGAAAGAGAGCGGGATACAAAGTCACTGGCATACCTCACGGCTCCGCTGACTGAACACAACGAGCCACGAGATCAGGAGAGCCGCTTCCTCAGCGAGAGGGCCAGAGAGGCAGCTGGCCCTATTTATCCCCCAAATGTCCCAGAATTCCTGCTAGCTCCGCCCCTGGGCCCTCGCTTCTCTCCCGGGTGCTGCTGGGAGTTGTAGTTTCCAGGCACTGGAGTGGGGGTAGTGTCCAGAAAGCGGGAGTAGGGAGGGCTCCATAAGACTCTGCAGAGCTCCTGTGGGACAGCCTTCCCCTAACATCTTCACCACTCATGGCAGAGTCTGTTTTCACACGACTTCAGTCGAAGTTTGTCTCCGTAACCTAGAAAACGCATTTCCTTGTGTGACTGTTTAATCCTTTTGTAAAGTTAAATTTGAGCTGAACCAACCCTGTGCTTTATGCACAGGGCTCCGGACGGCAGCGGGAAGGTGAGCCTCCCTTGGCAGGGCAGGACAACTCGAAGAAGAGACTTCTGCTTCGTTCAGCACGATTCCCCTCTTGTCCCTCTCAACCCCGCTCACGGACCTGGCCTCCAGCATGGGTCGACATTTTCCAAGGAGCACCCCAAAAGACCCATGGGCCGTCTGCAGAATACCTGGCAGGCAACGGCAGAGGTGTCAGGCTGGCGGGGTGTGAGGGCACCGCCGTCGGGCTTCTACCCCAGCTGGCCCCACAGGGGCCGACACTATGGACCCAGACTGGGCCCAGGACCCGTGCTGGGTGCCGCTCGCCCTGGGCCACGGGGCAGCCTTGCCCAGCTGGACAGGACTCTTTCTGGTAGTGCCCCGAGGCCAGCGCCCAGCCCTGCCTCCATGGGGCAGCCCCAGGAGGTTCCCCTGGGTCTCTTGGGAGGCTGGGCCCTGCCCCCGGCACCTTCCGCAGGCCACCAGCCAGTGCAGCTCAGCCATGGCCGCTCAGCCCTGGCTGGCGCAAGAGGCTTGGGGGCAGGGGTGGCCCTCGGCCGCATCCTGTCCCGCACCTCACCCTGGGGGCAGGGCTGGCCCAGCCAGTGGGGGCTGTAGTGAATCTGCAGTCTGCTCCCCGGCTGACCTCCCAGCCAGGTGCTCCGCTCCATGGGGGACCCCGCCATCCTGGGAGAGAAGATGGCCCCTGCCCCAGCAGATGGGAGCCTCGGGCCCTGTGTTGGGGGGCTGCAGCTCCCTTCCCGCAGCGCCTGCTCGGCTGTGTGCATCCCGCCAGCTGCTCGTCCTGCCCACCTCGCCCTCCGCCTGCGTTGGCCCACAGGGATCTCGCTGCCCGCTGGCACCCCCAGGCCTGGCCACGGGGCCAGCAGGCCCACTGATCCCCTAGCTCCCACGGGATCTACCATCAGCTGGCCTGCTTCTTTAACTTAAAAAGAGGCACAATTGAGGAGATCCCCCCCCAACCCCAGGATATGGGCTTAAGTCTCAGCAGTATGGCCAGGGCCTGACCACAGGGCGTAGCAGATCCCGGTGTCTCCCCGCTGCCCCCTCAGCAGTGGGTTTCAGTGGATCCGCCTGTGTGCGCCCCACTCTGTCTCTGGGGAGTCTTCTCACACTTGCACCTCTGCCCTGTACCCCAGTTCTTGTAGCATAAATACATAAAACGTGGGAAAAAATGAGGCACAATTCTTGCTTTTCACAGAAAACCTGTGACAGCCCAGACGTCGTGGCAGGTCTGGAGACAGAGGGCGGGCGCCCAGGCCCGGCACCCCGAGCTTGGGGCTCCGCGCTGAGCACCGTCAGAGCAGCCCCCCCCCCCAAAACGGCAGGGGCCGTCTCTAGAAAGTCTAACAGAGATACAAATCCGGAGCACAGCAGCCACCCTGCGGCTCAACTCAGTTCATAACTGAATCGCCCGGGCGACGCAGCCAGCCCCTCGCCCCAGGGCCGGGCGCCCCGTCTCTGTGGGGCCCCGCGCTCGGCTCGCCCGCCCCGCCCATCCAGCGCCCGGGGCGGCAGGGTCACCAGGTCGTGGCTAGCGCCGCCCCGAGCGTGGACGCGGATTTCCGGGG